GCGAACAATCCTAATGCTTGTCGCAATCTTTGATATTTTATTTGTGGAGATTAAAAACTTTTGCAACCAGCAGATTATTAATCCAGGCCCAATATGTGTGATTCAATTAAGATAGGTGGGCCATTCGAACCACTTCATGATCCAACCTGGCCCAACTTATTCCGCTGGCAAAATTGATGCGTCGATACACCTAACCAGACCAATTACAAAGATAAACCATTCATTGTTCTTATTTTAAGGATAAACCATAAAAAAAAGTCAAAAATTAACTAGCATTTGCTTTTGCTAAGTTTATACTATTATGTTCTTTGGTTCAATTATAAGTTGCTTTCTTTGATGTTGATAAGCAAACTCTACTTTCAAAGAGAGCCTACTAGCTCCTTCCATTTTTGAAGATAAATTTGTTCAATACTATACCGGTATAAAAAAATGACAATTAAAAGATTATATTATCCGTATTAGCAGTTAAAATGACGTATGTCAAGACAAATAAACGATATTTAAGAAAAACGTAGCTAGCGAACGAAGAAGGGAATTGAAGTGATGTGCCCACTAATAATAAGAGGAAAATATCAAGAAGGCATGTGTTGCATTGTCAATAGAAAATGAAATGCAATGACTTGGCCATTCATCGATGATATCTTAGCACTCTACGTGGTCTAAATTGGTAGATGGTGGATGTGCCACGAGGAAGTTTATGTAATTCATTTATGTTGTAACAAAAAAAAAAATTGAGTTTTGCAATGTTAACCAAGTTTCTTTTTTTACATGGATATGGATATGGGGACGACATTATATTAGGGGACCTTTGGATGCTCAACTTGTTATGATTGGTAACTTATCATAATCCTCTATATTTTTTAATTATTATGATTTGATTGTGACATTTGCAATTTCATAATTGTAGTATTCAAAATTTGGAATTGAAATTGGAATTGGAATATAAGCCGGAGCAATAGTACTCAATGGAATCTATATGATGGATGTAACACATGAAAAAAAAAATTCTTGTTCCACATGATATAACCTAACAAATTCCACATTAGACAAAATTCATATTCATATTCTAAATATGAAATTTCCAACCAGGCTTTATATGACAACTAGCTTCTACAAGTACAAATGATTATATGATATGGTCCTCTGAAATTTGACAAATATTGGTGGCCCAAATAGATATCTGAAAAGGATCACACTTGAAAAAATTCCTTTTTTTTTTTTATATATATATTGCCAACCATTCTTTATTTATTCCTATTTTTGCCTGAGTTTGTGGATTAGAGTTCAGGTTGGAGCATCTATATTCTTTTATTTTTTAAAAAGGATCGTTTAAATTTACACTGCAGCCCAAATTAGTACTGGTATTATACTTAGAGGGAGTATGGACTGTAGTTTAATGTAGCAAAAGGTCAGACAAAGGGGCTTGCAGCCTCAGAGTTGGGCAAACTATTTGGGCCTATATGTTCATCTCAAACTCAACCCAACATAGTAAGCTGGGCTAGATTTTGGGCTTAACCTTGGGCTGTATACACATTTTTTTAATTTTCAAACTAAAAACAACCAGAATCCTGTGTTACATTCATACAACTATATATTCTATCAATAATGCTATTGTGAAATTCGTAAATGTCTAAGTTGTAGCGATGATTATTGACTCATACAAAACGCTATTTGATCATCAAAAAAGAGAAAGCACTCAAAGTTGTATTGAATGTGGATTCACAAGATATAAAAATTCAGATGGAAAGAAGCAGATGATAAATGATATGCATAAAGCTGGTTTGACTTAGCTTGAAGATTTAATTAGTACGTGCATTCATCTAGCTCTAGAGCAGATGGAGTAGATGATAGATAATACGAACAAATGCTGGTTAGACTTGAAGATTTAGCGCATTCATCTTGCTCTAAAGCCGCAAACCGAGATCGTATGAGAATAGTAGATAGATGTAACTTTTAGAAGACAAATAAAATTAAATGGCTAGTATCCACACATCTCTTATAGTAACAGCTAGGGGTGAACGGGTCCAGATTCGGACGGGACCGAGCTTGAACCGGATTTTTGGCTATCTAGTGACGTGCCTCCGGCAAGGCTTCAAGCCGGACGTCCCAGTTTTTTGTGAAATGCATTCCATGGTCCGTCTGGATACTGACACGGACGGGTGGTTTATCCTGAGCACCTAGAGAGATTATATGGTGGTGATGGATAAGCCGTCCAAGTGGCGAGACTGAAAATACCGATTCTATCGCATTATGACAAAGGATGAGCAGTTTAACTTGCGGATGAATGATCCAATCTAGCTCGGCCGCGGGCAGCATAGACTCAACAAGCCGCCCGTCCACCCTGATTATATGCACCAACTGGACTACTTCGAAGTCAGAAAGGTAGTCCGAGATGGAAAGACGGTGACCGTGCCGCGCAGTTGGATTCCGCTGGCTGTGTGGCTTAGGAACCCAGTTTTATTTCATGTCGGCCTGTGGCCTATACCGGAACTATTCTCAAGGTGGAATCTTGTGACTCAGCCGTTCTAATGCGATTTACAACATGGAAATATTCTAACATTTTTTCCTCTTTTTTCTTCTTCAAACGTAGTTCTCATAATGCTGGATCCAAAGCAGAAAGGGGAGGTTGACATGTCCGACCTGAACTTGGAGCGGTACAAACTCCACCAACAACAACACGACCAGGCTAAGGAGGTACTGACAATCTGCTCTCCTTTTTTCTTTTCCTTTTTCTTTCCTTTTTTTTTCCTCGAGTTGGTGTGTGGGAGGAAGAATCCTTCCCCATTTTACTCGAACGCAATTAAAAATGTTTTTGCGCCGAGCTGGTATGTTAGGAGAGGTATCCTATCTGGTTTCACTCGGACGTTGTCTCTTGCCTGTGTTGTCCGAGTAGACTGGTTGGGAGGGTGTTCCTTCTCAATTTTACTCGGACACTTGTTCATTTCATCTCACTTTATTTTGTTTCTTTCAAGCAGCCACTCCCACTCCCCGTTCGAAGAAAGCAACCGTCTTCTGCTTCCAAGGACGGACAGTCGTCCAAAGCCAGGAAGACAACAGCCTTAAGGGCCAAGTCTTCCATCAAGGCACCAAGGCCACGCCGCAGACTGCTTCGAAGCAGTCTGAAGGAGAGCAACCGCAGTTGTCACCTAGTGGGGATTCCAAGCCCATGGATCCGCAAACTGAGGTGGTCCACGATGAGTCTGTCCAGACAATGGGGGTAAGTCGTCCGCGGAAAAAACGATCAGTAACCTGGCCTCGACTCCGCATGTCGAGGTGATTGATAAATCTGAGTGGCAGAAAGCTGCTTCTCAGTTGCCCGAAGGACAAAGCGGCCGCTCACAAGAGGAAGGGAACATCCCAATACCCCCTACTTCCTTCAACCTTCAATCTCCTCCATCCTTCTCGGACGATAAGCTGAATCCTTGCACGACTGTTGACTCGTGTTTTTAAGAACTTGTTTGCTCATTCTAACAATGTTTCTTGGTTTGGCGCAGACATTGCCAAGGAGATGTATATGAAGCTAGCTGGCCAGTCGCTCGCCGGCGCTGACCGGAAAGCTATTAGGGAGGCCATGCAACGGGTCGTCCCTAGGGAGCAGCGGGACAAAATCCGCGGAATCCATGAGGGCTTCCTTGGCCCAATGAGTAATCCGTATCGAGCATAGGGCCGAGGCGAAGCTAAAGAGCCGCTTCTACGAGGCCTTCTCTTAATGGTCGAAGAGGGCACGACTGCCTACTATGAGGAAAGCTTCACTAAGCGCCTCAACTTCGTCTGCCTCAAGGAGGAGGCCGAGGCTGTCGGGCAACCTCCTCCAGAACTTGTCGTGACTTCTTTCGACTCTGATGATGCTGATGAGGAGGAGGAGATGAAGCTGATGGGTGAGGATGAGCCGACCGTGGAGAAGCCAGCCGATGCTGCAAGCGGCGATGGGAAGTCGGCCAAGGAGGAGCCTGCCAATGGTGACATACCGGCTGAGTAAAGAGCTCAGGTCCTCCAGCAGCTGCTTTAAAGCTTTCAGCACTTTAATTTTATTTCTATATCTTTGAACAATCTCGTCTCTGGTCGCCTATTTTGAGTGGCCATGTAATATACTCTTTCTAATTTGCCGCCTGTTTTAAGCGGCTTTAATCTATGCAAGTTTCTTTTGATTTTCATACTTAGCATTTTTCGAGCAATTTTTTCATGCTTTATGCTTTTGCGTACAAATGATTTTTTATTTTTTTTATTTTTTATTGGGGGTATGCCCCTTTATTCGGCGTTTGCCTAGTCCATATTCTAAGGGGTTTGATTAACTTTGTAGATTTTATACCTTGAAGGGTATGCGAACTAATAAGTTAATCAAATCATAACAATGATTGCCCTTGGACTAGGTAAATGCCGAATCAACTTTGGTTAGACGACCGTTTTATTGGTTTATACTGAGTCGACCTTTGATACTATCTCTCGGACGTTCTCATGAAATTTCAAGTAAATTCTCAACTTGATTATTTCTAAATGTTGGCTGGGCTCGAACACCTGACCATGCCCTTGCCCTTTTTTTTTGGGTAAAAATACTTTAGGCAATTTTTTGGGATAAGTTAATCAAATCATAACAATGACTGCCCTTGGACTGGGTAAATGTCGAATCAACTTTGGTTAGACGACCGTTTTATTGGCTTATACTGAGTCAACCTTCTATACTATCTCTCGGACGTTCTCATGAAATTTCAAATAATTTCTCAACTTGATTATTTCTAAATGTTGGCAGGGCTCGGACGCCTAGCCATGCCCTTGCCCCTTTTTTTGGGTAAAAATACCTTAGGCAATTTTTTGGGCTTCCTGTGATTAGCTTTTTAGCCTTTTTGGCCGAGTAGCTTAACTAGGGATGCCCTTGCTAAGCATTTAATTCGGCCGCTTGATCGTGCCCTTCTTTAAGGCCGAGTTGCTATGTTGCAAGCAACTTCGATTTTATTTTTAAGCAGCATTTCTGCTTTAATAAACGTACAAAATAAATTGCAAGATTTTAGTAACAATGCTTGATTTTTTCATTAATATCGTCAAAATTACACTATTGTGGCCGTACGGCTTTAATTACACGGCTCGGTTGTCTGATCTAGACCTAGTTGTATATACAACTTGGCTAAGTACAAAACTTTAAACATGATATTTTTTCAGATTGTCCGCATTCCAAGTACGAGGAATAGGAGACCATCTAAGTCTTCGAGACGGTAGGTACTTCTTTGATTCGGTAAGGCCTACCGCTTCCATTTTTCTCAAGACCAAGTCTCCAATCTTCAGCGGTCGCTTAGACACTTTGCGGTTATATGCCCTTGTCATCCTTAGGCGGTAAATTTCATGTCTAAGTGTCGCATTGCCCCTAGCTTCTGGAAGGAAGTCTAGGGCGGTCTTCATGGCTTCCTAATTGGCCGACTCATCATATAGCATCACTCGGAGAGTGGGTTCGTACATTTCAATTGTGAGCACGGTTTCAGCACCATAAACTAGAAAAAATGGAGTTTCCCCTGTTGAACTTTTTGCTGTAGTTCGAATGGACCATATTAATCAAGGGACATTAAAAAGGAACATAATCCAAGAAACTCAGGCACATATCACAGACACACCAACATCAATAGTAACAACAACATATCACAATCATTCATCCCCTGGCCTGCAACATATCACAGTTGCTGGCAACCATTTATCAACAAGCAACACATAATCCTCCATCTCAGTCAGCAAAAAATCAGAAATTTCATCAACAACATCAAGGGACATAATCCAATAAATTCAGGGGACGACATATAAAAGGGCAATCAAGTTACCTAACCAAAGGAGCACCCTAATTTCTGCTTCATCTATGAAGCGATGAAGAATTCAAATTAGAGTTATCTACAATTAGGATGGGACACTCATCTTTAAAATTCAAAGAATGTATGCATTTAAAAGGACAATTCATCAACCACTTGGATCAAAATCAGAAGAATAATCCATAATTAAGGCCAAAACCGAAATGAATTCATCAAAAAAAGCCAAACCCGAAACCAATTCATAAAAAAAAGGTTAAAACTTGTGATTTTATCAATTTATATGCATGACATGTACTACTCCGTATATGTTACGAGTAAAGTTAATTAAAAAACTCACAAAATTCATCATCATTCTTGAACAAAAACCGAAATTCATCAACAAAAACCTCACTTCATGCACAACAACAACACAAGCTCAGCATAGGCAAAGGCAGAGACTCAACATGCGCAACAACAGCAACACAAGCTCAACATAGGCAGCAACAATAAAAGAGGCTGATCAAAGGAATCAACATCAACAATGGCTGACCACATGAAGCAATTATAACACAGGCTACGCATAGGAAGCAACAACAACACAGGCTGAGGGATGGCAGCACAACCTAACCACAGGAATCAACTACAACAGAGGTTGACCATAGGAACCGACAACAACACTGGCTGAGCACATGAAGCAATAACAACACAAGCTAGGCATAGGAAGCAACAACAACACAGGCTGAGCATAGGAACCAACAACAACACAGGCTAGTCACATGAAGCATTATCAACACATGATAACCATAGGAAGCAACATTACCACACCCTGACCATAGGCATTCACAACAATATAGGCTGACCATTAGAACCAACATCAACATAGGCTGACCATAGGAACCACAACACAGAATGAGCATATGAAACAAAAACAACAACACAGAATGAGCATATGATGAAACAAAAACAACACAGGCTGAGTAGAGTAACAAACAGCTACACAGGATGGGATAAAGGAATCAACAATAACACAAACTACACATAGTAAGCAACAACCACCACACAACATCAACGAACACCAACACAAATATCATCAAAATCCATCCTGGCAAGCAACTGAAGTTACTAGCATACAATCACAACCACAAACAAATCCTCCACCCTAAACATTATATAAAAGAAAAAAAAAGAAAAAAAATTAATAAATAAACGGAATGATAAATCCCGCCTTGTTTTTTTCCCACCGGTTTTCAAGAACCGGTGTTAATTTGTGTTTTTCTACTAGTGTTATATTCATCAAATAAAGTGCAAGTGAATTCCTTCACCTCATTGGCAAGTTTTGAACCCTTTTCTTTTCCGTGCATATCAATTAGTGACAATTTAACAAGTATGAACTTGCAATGAGGGTCAAGAATAGAAGCAACATAAATAAGCTTGTTCATTTTATTCACATTCCCCCAATACTTATCAAACTTTTGTTTCATTGCAATAGCCATAGCTTGAAAGTTCAATTCCCCACTTTTTTCCCACTTATTCAACATATTATACATGGAAGCAATACTCAAACCTCTATTACTTGTCACATAATGAGAGCCAGAGATATATTTAGTCAAAACATAGAACCCCTTCAAAAACAAAGTCAATCAATGTACTTTTTTTCCAATCTTCTTCTTCAGGAGGTCTTTCATAATCATTCAAAATCCTCTCAATCAGAAAGAGATAACCCACTAAAAACGCGCTGAAATTTCAAAGCCGTGTCCAACATTGTGAATGTAGAATTCCAAAGAGTGGGGACATCAAAATACAAGGAAGCTTTGGAATCTATATTTTCTCTTTGCACAAGATCTTTGAACCTAGATATTCTAGCGGGAGTTTTTTTCACATATTTCATGGCATTTCTAACTCTATCAATGCACACACCGTGTTGTTTGATTCCATCCTACACAATTAGATTAATGATCGTGTGTGTTGTTTTGCTTTGCTATTTGTGTTTGCGGCCATGTCTTTTTCTTATGGTGGCCCTGCGGCGATCTATTTCGGAATTTGTCCTTAATGGTGAGCAGTCTAGTTTGTCTAAATAGGTTGATCAAGTGATCGTAGCTAAAGGAGCTCAAGTGTTTCGATTAGTATTTTATAACAAGTTTGTAAAGTTGTATAAATAGCTCACTTAGATTATTGAGTTGTAATTATTGGGATTTTTGTAAGCCTTAGCACTTGACAAGTTGTTAAGTGTGGCGGTAATATCTCCGATTTAGGTGTATGCTTCCGCAGTTTTTTTTCAAAGGCTGTTTATTTTTCCTTTATTTATTATTTATTAATAGCTAGTAAATTGGGGGTGTTACAATCAGTGGTCACATAAATTCTATGACAAGCTTTAAACATTTATCTCAATCTTTCTTTCTCACTATAGTAGAGCTTTAAACAATCACGAGCAATGGTCACACGAAAGAGTATAGTAAATTGTGGACATGCAACTTGCATTAAGTGCTTAAAACCCGGCTTCTCTATATATTTAAAAGGTAACTCATCAACAATAATCATGTAAATCAATGCTTCCCTAATCTCTTTTAAGTTAACATTCCCACACTTCGATTTGCCATTATCATTTTCTTTATCAAAAAACAATTCAGTTTGTTTTTCTTTGCCCTTATATACATTGGTAGGATTACTAAGACATGATTCTGCATGTTTTTTAATATTTTTTGAACCATTAAGGTTTCCATTACCAGCATAGGTTTTGTTACAGTACTTACATTCGGCTCGTAGTCTCCTGCCTTCAACATATTCAATGAAGTCTTCCCAATAAGGTTTTGTCCTCTTACTCTTTCTATTAAGTAGATATTCCCGCCCCACTTTTAACTTCTTACCCGGAGGCAAAGTAGCATACAATTCTTCTACATCCACTTCACTAAGTGATTGTGCCGTGTTTTGAGAATAAGCGGTCGTTCATTTGGATTGGGAGCTCTCCATCTACATTTTAAAGAGATGAAACAATTAATCTTCCGAGCATAAACAAAAAGGGAGGTTAGGCAGGGAAGATGTTTAAGGAAAGTGTCACTAAAAATATAGTAGTAGTTAGTGTAATTCAGTTTTAATCAGTAATGTACACTAAAAAAAGGCAGTATAAGATAAGCTTAGTTGTTGATAAATTAGACAAGTTCAGTCTGTTAAAATGAATAAAGCCTTAATGGACAAAGTTTTACATGAAAAAGGCTACACTACAAAATTTTCTCATAATTTCAATTGAAGTTTCTCCTGTTGAAAAAGAGTAACAACTTTCAGGGGGTTGTTTATAGTCTGGCAATTGATTACTGACTTTGGAAATAAAATTTGCATCATTTGCCAAAAAATTGAAGAGCAGCAAGCTAGTAACTATAATCATCACTAATTGAATTACCCAAGTCCATACATAGTAAAACTAGCATAAGGATCAAGAGCATACAGGTGGTAACAAGGGTCGAACCAAATCGGTGATAATCAAAACAGAGCTTAGTAGCAAATGTGGTAATTTTGTCGAACAGGTGGTGGGCATTATTCAAGTGGGTAGAACCGTAGAATACAGGGAATGAGATTCCTCTGAAACAAGGATTAGTTAGGCTTCATAGTCCAAGCAAGAACCTTAGATTATACGAACAAGACTGTAATTTACCAAAATCAAAGGAATTGAAAAAACAAAAACTTAGAATCAAAGCAATTGAAAAATCATAAACCCACAGATTCAAAGAAACCCTAAAATCCATACAAATGCACTCAAAACATGTAATACAATTCAAAAAATCAACATGCAAACATCAACCAAGTAAATAATCATCAATGATTGAGAAATACTGGATTGAAAACTTTGAGAAATTGAGAAAGTATAAAAAAAACGAACGAAAAAAAAACACTAACCATGAATGAGGAGTCGCCGGTGAGAGAAAGAATTGATTTTGGTGAGAGAGAGAATCGAACTTAGGGTTTTTTTTAGAGGAAACGTTCAGTTTTTCGTTTCCTGATTATACCCAAAAAAAAAAAACACCGGTTTTTTGGTCCGGAAAATTCCAGTTTAAACCCGAACCGAAAACCGGAATCACCCATTTTTAAGGATCGAGACCAGACCTGAATCTACCGATCCGAGTCCGGTCCAAACGGTCCGATTTTTGGTCCTGGGTATTTAGGTACACCCCTAGTAACAGCTACAGTTACCAAAAGATTGATGATTAAGATGACACACTTTTTCACTGGTGCTAATGCCTCTGGGAATCCAATGCAACTAACTAAAGTTACCATTTGTAATCCTACACTCATCAATGGGCATGCATCACGTTATACTCTTCTTAACCTCTAACATTATCTGATACCCATTCATATTACTACATCTGTCCACCATTAACATCATGCTTTTTCTATTTTTACTTTTACTACAAAATTAAAGTTGACCTCCTAATTATAAAATATACTTCACCCCCAGGCCAGCCAGGGCAGCAGTTCATCATCATGATTGGAATTGAAAATGAAAACTTCAACGCGCTGTTCTATACTACGTACTTCTTTACGGAGCATTACATACATGGTTCCTCGAATAATGCTTTACGGTGTTTAAAACAAACGGTACTTCGATCATTCTCTCAAATCGATTCAAGGAAGTATTATTACAGTACAATTAGTCCTTACTTATTGACCTTGCATTATGATTCATCTACCCTTATACTTTATAATATTATGAATAGAAAATATTTATTACAATACATACGAAGTAAATATATATGGCAATTATACTATACGAGTACCATGTACCATAAGAGAACGAGGAAGAGATCAATAATACTTTCTACGTACTCCATGAACTCCGTAGTCCATATTTCCTATATATGAAAGGTCTAGTAACTAATTAAGCTTGTGCCATGGATGCTTTTTATATTGAATAAATGAATACACAAAAAAAATTGAGCATTACATCAAAGATCAAGAAATTTACTTAAGAGCTTACCTGATTGGAAAGGCAGACGACCAAACATTCATGGTGGTCATGAACCATGATATTACAACAGAAACTAACCTGGCCAAATAACTAATGAAGGCCGGTCATATATTGATTTAAGCTAGAGTGTTGGGACAACTATATATAAAAATGATGTAATGACATCATTACACACATATATATATATAATCACGGTGTGTCAAAGAGAAGTTTATAAAGCTAACTTGACAGTCTGGCTTCCTCTACAAGGATACGGAGTATACGATATTAAACCATGGCGGCCATGATTAGTGGAGGTAGACAGAATGCCAAAACTGGCTCTACAAAATAGCCTCTGAGAAACCATGACTAGTTTTGTTTAGTTTGAGGGGGAAAGAGAAAACATGCTAAGGGATAAGCGGACTATAAATGTCAAAGTATGAAATGTACGTATGATAAATGTTCGTTTACTTGAAATGTTTGCATTAGGAATATCTAGGCGTGCATGTATATAACCAAAAGGAAAAGCATAACTTTAATTTATTAAGATCGAGTTTAAGTATTGAAGGGTGATATTTGCTTGTTGAGAGGTTAAATATTCTCTTTTAATTTTTTGTCCAATGATTTCATTTTGACTATGGCTTGCATAACATAACATACATGCTCCAAAAGTTAGTTACTCCTTATATAACACAAAGGGAGGATCATTTTGTCTCCCACTCATTCTTGATTCTCTCATGTTTGAACTATGATAGTACATTTTAAGTAATGTTTCCAACCAATGCTATTCATAATAATGAAGAGTTAACAATAGAGGTTGAACAAAATCAACCATTATAATATTTCATGTACAAATTTGCTATGAACAATAAGTTGTTGAGTACCTACAAGCTACAACATTGATATAAATTAATTGGCGATAACTAAAAATTACACAAAATTGATACTTCCTCAGTTTCAATAATATTGCAACAAGGATTAAATTATGCATTCGAAAACACATTTTATATGTTAAATATCTATAATTGTATAAGAGTAAAAATAATAAAAATTTGATATTGTGAAAGTATTTTATGAGACGAAACTAATAGATCCCACATGACTATAGTTTGCTTAACGTATAAATCACAATATGGGGTCAAACAAGAGTGATGAATAGTGCAAAAGTTCAGTTGTTGCAATATTATTGGAACAAAGGAAGTATAACAATATTTTATACACCGTATTTTATTAAACTAATAAGTCACATAAAGTTAATCAAAACAAAGGTTGTGAATAGTGTTAAAAATCAAAGTACGTCTATCAAAGTGTATAACAGTGAAATACAATGTATTTATGATTTTTATGTATGCATTATATTTTACTCCGTGTATAAAGAAAGAAACAAAAGAGGACAAAGTCAGCGAAAAAACCTTGACAGTGGTGTTTCTCCTCCTCCTCCATCAAGCAAGCAAGCATCTGAGAAGGTGAAATCAGAAGAAAAGATGGGTTTAGGTCTTAACGTGGGTCTTCTCGGAGTGCTGATTCTCTCTCATGCCGCCTACTCCACTATTCAATGTATTTTTCTCTCTCTTCACTTCTCACTTTTTTCTAGGTTTTTCGGATGCAAACTCAATTCTTCGTGTTTCATTCGTTTTTGTCAGATAGAGGATTGTTGAAGATTACCGAGGATGAGTTTACTGGCCCTCCTATCAATGTTAGTCCTTAGATTATTTCTGGATTTGATTTGATTTTATTTTATTTTTTTAATTTTGATTGCTAGATGTACTTTTTAATTTGGTTAATTGATCTGGAAATTTAATTTGGGGTTTGTTCTTTGATGATGATGATGATGCAGGTAGTATTTGAATTGATTCTAGGGTTTCTGTTGTGTATGTACGCTGGCCTAACTGTTCCTGGCAATTTCCACTCCATTCATCCAGCTTCTGAGGAAAACAGGTCCACCTTTCTTCCTCTTTTTATTGGTTTCAGTTTTATTCGAATACAATCTTAACGCCTTTGATCAGTATTTCGATCTATGTGTTCAAAATCTGTAATTGGACTTATTGCGCTTCTAATGTAAATATTGCGAATATAGATTGCTAGATTGCAACAATTTTTATGTGAAAATTGTGCCTTTTGTTGCTGCTTCTGTTGTTTTAGGTGGATTTGATCATTCTATCGTTTCTTGTCTAATTTTGACAAACAATAGAGAATCAGACTAACTCTTTATGTGTTAATACTTAGTAGAGATTTGGGATTTGATATGATTGCTAAGAGTGTGCTGCTTGTTCTTCCTTTTCCTTTTTCTGAAGGAGAAAAATATTTCGTGTTATCATAGTTGGAGTTGGGTAATATCTATTAGTCAATTTTTACGTCTAATAGAGCAGTTCTCAATCTTTTAATTATCAAACATTCGAGTTGTTTTCCCCTTATTGTGTTTGTCAATATAGTAAAAATATTAGAGCCGCTTTAGTGGAAGGCTCTAGTACTACATGGTATATTGGTATGTCTTTACCCTTTTACTTTAGAACAAATTATGATTTCTGTAGGTCTGATCAATCAGTAAAAGAGATTTACTTATTATGTAGTAAAAGCTGCAGTACCTCTTATGAGTCAGCTTTATCTGGAAGATGAGTTAGGTTTGTGTGCCATGTTGCCATCAATGATTTTAGGGACATATTGGCATGTAATCATATATGTAATAATAATAGGGACATATTGGCATGTAATCATATATGAGTTTTGTTTGTGTTACCTTGTCTAAACGTGTAATTAGCTAGTTAGACATAAGACTTGGCATAGCCTGCTGGGCTTTCTCTGGACATGGATTTATTCACAGGGTTTTCGAGTAACATATATGCACGAGTGCACGATAGCACAAGTCCTTTGATTTCTAGTGGAGGAGTTGAAATTGATTACCATAAAGTGAGCTATATTAGCCTTTTCTGCACGATTTAGCTATTCTTACTATCAGGTTAAAATGGCTGTTTTATGTTTTTCTCAATGGCACAGGGAGCAAAATAAGAAAAGTGTTGTCCAAAGTTGAAAAAAAAAACACTCCCTCCATCCCAATTTAGCATGCCCCCCATATCAGGCACACTTGTAGTTGGGATTGGAGTGTGGTTATGAGTTGGTATTTTACTCTATAATAAAAATGTAGGTGTGATAACAGTGGATATTTTATTTTTATAAATGAGATAGAGTATGGACCCTAACTTTTAGTAATTGGAAGAGTGAAGTAATAGTAATAATAATAAAATAGTGAAAACTCACCAAACGTTGAAAAGGGCAAACTACATTGAGACAAATGAAAAAGAAAGTGGGCACATTGACTTAGGACAAAGAGAGTAAATTTTGATGAAGATTGAGACTTGAGATGAAATGACACGATGGGTACCTTCTCATAATCAACCTAAATATCTATGTTCAACCTCAAGCCTTAGCTGCTCTTCTCTGAATGCCTCTCTATAAATTCTTTTACCAATTTGCCTTGTTTGATCCTTGATTACATGGATCAATCTAGCTTGAGAATAATTAACATTAAGTGTGAATATTTGTTACTGAATAGACCTGCATAAATAGGTATGTTAAGATGCATTCCTCCAACTTCCAAGAGTATCACAATTATGCCATTACATTATGAGTAGGAAAAATATGCTAGTGTATACTCTACACTCGCACTTTCTATTTAACTCCTTTAATGATAACACCTATCTGTGTAATATTCCTAGTATCCTTCTCAACTTTCCTAAATATTCCATTATGGCCTTGAGATTTTAGTCCCAAGGGAATCTCTTTTTGCATTACTAGATTTCCCTTCATATTAGATGTATGAACCAGGTGGTTGGTTTGTTTAGTTCTATGGGAAAATAGGAAAATTTTAATACAATCTATTCTTGTTGATACTCCTTGAAATGGTTTACCTACAATTTGAATAAAAGTTGGAAACCATTCATCTAACTTTCTCCAAGTGCAAAATTTAAGAGGACATATTGCTCAATTGGGTGCCTGTTTCTTTCTTCCTTTTAGCTATGCAACTAAAGTGTGCTTTCTACTCCATTGTTAAAATTCATCCCCATTTCTTTCAACATATACTCATATCCTTTGCTAAGATCTGTATAGCTTGCATTAGCCATCAGGCTTGGAATTTGTTTAGTGATCCCAAAATTCACTACTCTGGCTCTCATGTTTTACTGTTCCTAGGGTCTCGAAATGGTTACACATTTGGAAATTCAACTCTTTGTCAATTGATGTACTAGTAATGTCCATTTTTGTTTGAGTATTAAGTTTTGGAAGGATTTGGTTTCATGTCGTCAATTTGGTCGTAGGATATCTGTGTTTATTTGGAATTTTAGGAATTATATGAGAAGCTACAAAACTGATTTTAGTTCAACACAAAATAGAAATCTGAAACCATTGCTTGGATGCCACAGTGGTTGTTGTGTTTTTGAATATGTTTGTGGGCAATCCCTAAATGAACTATGGCAGTAATCCTTTTAAGTTAGTTTTCACTATTGTAGGATATTCTGAAAAGGAATGTTGCTTCTTCTGTTTGTATTTTTTTTATTTTTTTTTATTTTTGGAAACAATTGTATTGTTAATTTCAGACAGTTAAAACCATTGTGCTTCCCTGAAGAAAAACACATTAAAATTGGGAACACCATTGTAATTGTCATATTAAATATGCAGTAACAATGGAAGTTTCATGTTAAGTTACCCTTTGGGATTCTAGTTTTCTATCACTATTTATTACTATTGATAATGAAGAAGTTAAGATTGTGGTTTTCTAGTTACCCCTAAGATAGCTGATGTGGGAGTGAAGGACAAAGAAGTGCAGTTATTAAGGTCTATTTAATTTATTGTATTGGCTATTTGGAGGCCAAGTTGAGCAAAAAATTGTAGCATGCTTCAAGGCATGGGCGCTAGTATTGCTGTTGTATGAGCCAAGGCAAAGCCTAGGCATGGGGCATGGGCACGAGGTTGGCATGGCCAAGGTAGGTAGACGTAATTACGATTATAGTCGTGGGCTAAGGCATGGTCTTGGGCAATAAATAGGCCCTAAGGGACCCTCAGGAAGTACATTGATGCTTAACCTAGCCATGTCTGAAAATGTTCTCCATAGGCTAAATTTGAAGGTTGTAACACACAAAATCGGGCTATTTTCAAAGAATTCAGAACATGATGTCAAAATTCAAGTGATGGTGGGGGGAGTTCCCCAAGGTCATAAAAGGTTGACTGTAATCATATAAGCCTAGTAGTTTGATTGTTAAGAGGCAAAGTGGACGTTTTCAACCACCCAAATAGTCTCTTGGGGTCCATGGAAATCACCTTGTCCTCTTTGTTTTCTGGGTTTGAAAAATTATAAAAACTGTCCAAAATTAAAGGCTAGATCCTCGTTTTCGGACAAATTTTGGAATATATTTCCAAAATTAAAGTGGTATTTTTTTGCATTATGATTCATGTGTTTGGAAACATGACCTTGTTGAGTATTTTGTGTTGTGGTTTTTCATGTTAGCTGACCCTAAATCGTTTTGTGACTAAGGCTTTGTTGTTGTTGTTGTTGTTGTTGTTGTAATAGTCAGCCTTCAAGTGGTTTTAAATTTCCCTGATAAACTCATGCGAATATTAATCATTCTTGAATAATGAATCTGTAATTCTGAGACCTGCATCTATGGAATTTTTTTATAGCATTTGGAACAAAGCATTAAATACCTATTTGCTGGCTATACTCCAAGATCTCACTAAAAAAGCCTAGACCACAAGAAATTTGCGCCCTGATCTATGGTTTATTTTTTGATGCTTAAAAGCCTTAAATCATTTCCGATGACTGAAGAATAGCCGTTAAGCTACTATTATCAGTTTCATCATCCCTGGATCTTATTATAACTTGACTTTTCAGTGGCACCTGGTCTATCCTGTTATCTAGTTCTTCAAGATTTTTTTCTTACCATTGTCCAGGGCTAGAACCCCATGAGTCATCAATTATGACTTATATCTATAGCTCTTATATTGCTCTTTGTCTAGGTGTTTCCTTTGTCCAAAAACTTTCAATTTTTAGCTTTTACTGTCTCAACTTAGTGGATGAACCAATATTATTTTTGTCATCATTTGTCATTAAACTTAGGAAGCCATAAACTGAAGACTAGATGAAGCAAAATTTTACAGGTTTATAGTTGCGGTGGGTAAAAGGTGTATGGATAACGAGGAGTAAAGGAAAAGGAGGGGAAAGAAAGAATGTAAATATGCGCACAAGGTGTTCCAGGCTTGCTTTCACAATAGAATGTGTCATGATCAGGAACATAATACAGAGTAATAGTGTATTGGCAGAGAATCAAAGCTGGTAACTTTTATATTCCAACCAATTTGCTGTCTGTGATTAATTAGTGATGAGAGCATTGAAGGCATAAATGATACTCGTATGTTGCAGTGTTTTCTGGGCAGGTGGGGATTGTCACCTCAACATACTTCTGTGTAGTTTGCTTCTGGTGGTGATGATCTATAGAGGCATATATTTATCATCTGATGACTGCTTGTGCAGAATGCTTTATATTGACAGTTATGTAAATGTTACATCTCTTCACAATATCAATTCACTTGAACATGTAAATGAAAAGTACGGGATAATGCCAATCCCCCTCTTTTCCTTTTGGGCCATGGAAAGCAATACACAAACTTGTATATATCTTAGTTAGTAAATCAAGCTTATCTGGCACCTTATTACTTTGCATATAAAGATGATCTGAAGATGCATTGATGTGTATGGTGTCCATTTATAGTCAATGTCTTGTGAAAGAGGCCAATTGATTATATATGCCATCCTGTTTCTTTTGCAGATGTCATACTTTTTATTTTGGCTTCCTTGGTATTGTCTAATGCATTTGGTGTTCCACTGTTCTAGGATAAGGCTGACAGGTGTTTCAACTTCTACTGATATTAGGAAATTTGATTATGATTGCAGGATAGTTTCCTTACCTGAGAACTTGGACTTCATGATCTTCAATCACCGAGGCAGAGTGGCTCTTTCAGATTCTGATATGAAGCTTAAAAAGTGAGGTTATCATTTGAAAGGACCTCTGTTCTTCCTTCAAGAAAGTGGGGACTATGTTCAAGCTGGCATCTCGTTTTTACTTTCAATTTTTCTCTGGCTACGAGCATCGTCTTCTTGAGTACTAGGAATATATTGCTGCTGTAAAATGTAATATTCTAACTACATCAGCAAAACTTTTTTTTTCTAGCATTACATTCTTACTGATCTTTATATTGATTATCTTATTATGAGTTTTGTAGTAGTTCATTGACTAGAATTGAGACCTTTATATAGTAACTAAAGAATTCACTTACTGTCTCTTTTGTCATGAGATTATAGTAGATACTGTGTGTTTATTGTCGTGTAGATACGCCACCACGTATCACTGGTCATTTGGTCAATCTAAGTCACAATAGCCTTACCTTCTCATTCTCATGTTCAGAAATACTCTCTGTCCAAAACTCGCAACACATCCAACTTGATAAAGGATAACAATAGAAAGCATCAGACTGGAATATAACATAAAAAGAAACTTAATTTTCATCAACACTACATCAAATAATACAATTAATTTGTATTTTTTGGATATCAGGAAGTTACAAAGATGAAAAAAGACTCAATTTTCAAAGAATTGTAGTACAAGTGTCTCCAAAATTGTCAAGGGAGAGAGAAAAATACAGCTACAATCTAAAAGCTAGAAAGATGACGTACCAATGTGTAAAATACAATCACCCCATTCAGAAACTGGCCTGAGGGTATTTCCTATACCTACAAAGAATCCAATTACAGAAAGGCAGCTAAAATCTAATTTACATCTGAGACAGTTCCTGAGGATTATCCATTGAAGACTGCCTTAGAATGAATTCAGCTCTCCTTTTCTTGTCATCCTTATCATCATCCCTTCCCAACATTGATGTCCTCTTTTCACTAACCTTGCTCCTAAGATGTATATCCAAATCCTCTACTAACATTTTCTTACCAGCCTTCAACTTGAAATTTACCACTGGCCTCCTTTTCACTGGAATCGAATTCGGAACCACTCTCCTATCTATCTCCATTGCATCCGTATCCAATCCTCCATCATCGGTATTCCCCTTCAGGGCATCAATGGCAGGAGCAAACGTCTCCTTCACCAACACATGTTTCCTCTCACTAACACCATTTTCATAAGCATTCTTCCCAGGTGGTGGTGGTGGCGGCAATGGCGGGGCGAGGAACGGGTTATCCCCTATCGGAACTCCCATACTCCTCTCCCCATCATTAACATGAGGAGGGCCTGACCCTGAAGGTCCAGCTAAACCATTGGATAACAAGCGTTGCTGCAAATTCAACAAGGATCGCTCAGCCTTTCTTCTCTGTCTGGCTTGCTCCCCTTTACTAATCCGAAGATCCAATTTCTTTTGACTCCAAACAGGTGATTGAATATAAGTATGAGGATCTGGAAAAGCCGGCAACCAATCGGGTATATGCTTACTGCTCGGAGTTTCACCCATTTGCAAGAAGCTTGGCGTTTGCAATTTCCTTGAATTTTTCGTGACAGGAACAGGAAACCTTGGAATTGGGTGTGCAAAAGGGATTTCAATATCTTCAACAGTGCGCACAAAACCAGACATCTGATCAACAATATTGTTCTCAGAAAACCCAGAAAAATCTTGCAAACCCTTAACAATGTCGAAAAGGTTGGATTCTGATCTACCAGCTAAATTAGCATAAAAAGAAGCAGATTTGCCTAAGTCGCAAATGAATCGAACCGCAATATCAGAAATTGCTACCAAAGCAGATTGTTTGATGGCTTCAAAACCAACCCCTTCGCAAATCTGGGCAACTGCCATCTTCGAAACAGCTCGACCATAATCGTCAGGTTCAGCTCTTTCAATTGATAATATTGCTCTTCTATCTCTTTTGCTGTCATTATCTTCATTCTCTCTCTTAATCTTCTCACCTCCATCGCTCATATTTAATCGGAAAACCCTAATTTCTCAATTTTATTCACAACTTCCTTTTTTTTTTTCCAGAAAATTGAAGTAAAGGGTTTGGAATTTGGAGGAGTGCTCAGAACATGAAATAAACTCCCCTCTCTCCGGTACTATGGCAAACTGGGAATATATGTCCAAAAACAGGGGTATAAATGTCTTTTACATGATTATATAAATAAACATGAAAGTGGGCCCATCATAATTAATTTGATTTCTTGATAGTTATATGATTTTTCCGCCCAAAATTGAATTGCAATCGTTTCCTCTTCCCAACGACGGCGACATGTTGGCGGAACCTGCACAATCTCAGCCGGAACCTCCAGTATCCGGCCAATTGCGTAATTCTGACGCCGCAATATGACGGAATAAATGGTGGCGGTAAGTTGCTAAGTATTTTGCTTTAATGTAATCAGATTTTATATGAAATTATGCCAATTTGCACGCATCCAATTGTGATCTTTGATTTTGTAAAAATTGAACCATTGAAAGTTTGATTTCCGGATAAACACTAAATTACTCAATAATTCACTATAATCTTCTGCTAAAAAGCATCATCAATTTAGCACTGTCTTCTCCAAATGATGGTGACTGAATTTCATTAATAACCCTTGTATACTATTCACAATAGCAAATTCTTGCGGCATCTATCATAGCATTGGAGAAGAGACTTGTAGATTTCTGCGCATATATTACTCGTTTCACATGGCTTAAAATCTTCCACCTTACTAAATAACCCATAGAATAAAAAAATTTGTAGTTTTTCTTATAAAACGATCAAAATGTAGGATTTTTTTGGTGATTACTCTAATTTTAATGATGAAGACATTGTTAATGGTGAGAAAAGCTATGATTTGGTGATATTATAGGACTACGGGTAAGGTGGAAGTTTCTTAATGTAGTGTGAAAAAAATGTGATATGAGCAAACATCTACAAGGTTTCATTGGATCTATTGTGAATGGTATGGGAAGAAGGGTGGTGCGGCTTTGGGTTACTATAATGACTTGGAAAGATAGGAGTTATTGATGAGATTTGGTGATATAATTCAAGGAATAAAGTGTTAATTTTGATGCTTCTACAAAAAGGATATCTTTTTATTTAGAAAATGTTGACAAGTCACTGAATTTTCATCTGGGAAAAGCTTTCAAGGTTTAACTGCTACTAATCCAATTGATCTCCAATCTGAAGTCACCTTCAGCAACAAGTTAGTTATAAGATTTGAGAGTAAAAGAGAAGATGCATCTAAAAAAAAATATTATGGATGTGCATGGCTTTAGTACATGAAACTAAGATTCAATATGTTAAGCTCTTTGAAAATTATTGCTAAGCATTCTTTATTATGTCACCTTGAAATAGCTTAAACTTGGCAAACCTTAATTTATTGTTTGTTGCATTTGAAACGTCTAGGTTTTGTAATTAGCTTGATCATTTTATGTTTTTTCGAGTAATTTGTTGTGGCAATTAAGAGAGATCAAGATTAGATGATTGGTTTTTCCTAAATAGAACTCCATTTATCGTTGCCATAGACAGCCCTAGATGTGAACAAGATATAGCATACAAGCCTAGTTGGTAGTTTGCCATTTATTGTGTGTTATTTTGTATGGCTCTTTTATGGAAAGCTTATCACTAGTTGTCTAAAAAAATTCAAATTGCCTATTGCATCAGATGGTGACTAAAAAAAAAGGTCTAGAGTAGTGAATTTGCTTTGGTTTGATAATGTGGCTTTATGTTGGGTGTTGTATCTTTGTCAAAGGAATTTTCTTTATAAGGTTGATTATTTGTATGTGGCTGAGCAATCAGTTTTCTTTATCAAATAATTGATTGTTATGATAATTTCCAATATGATATTCAATTGTTGTTATTGTCTATCAGTTTTTTTTGACATTTGTGTGCTTTGTGGTATATTAACTTCACAGATAATGCAGAGGGTTCTTCTCAAACCAAACAGTGAAATATATGCTTTTAAAGTTGTCATTCCGCAGCTTTAGAGCTGCTGTTTTTACTGCAATATGTGTTTCTCACTGGTGTTTATAATTTATGGATATTTTGTGTATCATTTAGTGGCTACTGTAGTTAATTAATCTATCATGTATCATTGAGAACTTCAAAATGTAATCCCCGCATCAAATTCTCCTTAACAACTGTAGAAACTTTATACAGAGTGTATAGTGAAACTAATATTCAAATACTGATTTGAAAATAAGAGACAGAAAACTAGTAAAAACACTTAATACATCAGCAATTTGGACTTTAATATCATGTTCCATTATGATTTATCCTCAGGGATGGGACTGGATCCTCTCCAGTTCTGAAATGGATGTGCAGTTGATGTTTTTAGGCTGTGACATGTGTCTTTTGTTTTTATTGAATGATCAAAAGTTTTTTTAACTCTCCCCCTTCCCAAATTTACTTCTGAAATTAAAAACCTCTGGCAGCCTTTAATAGACAGTTACACACCACCTAGTTGAAGCTTTATTGAGTTCTTCCACTGTATTTTGTGAGCAGATATTCATTGGTGAAGTTTAAACCATTGTGGGCTCCTGCTTTAATCTGCAGTAGTATTGTTGCTGCAGAGCTAGAACACAAGTTAGGCTTCCTCTTCCAATTGGGATCCTAATATATCTGAACTGCTGAACATACCACCTTGATTAGCCCAGATTTGCCGCCCTTCTAACAAAGTAACAAACCAGTAGAAGTTGTCAATGATTTTGCTTTTTCTTTCTTATTTCTTAACTTTGCTGCTGGGGTTTATCTTTTGATTTTTTTTAAGGGAGCATGAATGGTGTATTGGTGTTTGTTTTGTCCTTAATTCACCTTATAATCACAGTGCAACAATGTCTAAGTGATTGTTTGAATGAACATGAAAAGTAATATTTCCTATGAAGATTTTTTCCATTGTAATTGATATAGGAAGTAGACTTTCTTTGATCTGCAACTTTCCATTTTTTAGCTAGTTAAAGAAGTCAATGTTTCACTAGTTCCTTGTACTTTGTACTTCCCATTCTTATTTATGCTTGTATTAACCTAACACACACTTGATTAGAACCTACATCTAGAAGCATTTCTTACATGACGTTATAACAAATTAATACAGCAGATTTCTTATGGGGTTATTTAATGTGGGAACTGAAGTAGAAAATTTCTGCAGGTTCCTGGGAATGGAAAGTTTTAAAGAGCTTAACTCTGTAACTGGATGATTGGAGATGGCAAAGACCATACCCCAGTGATGAGAAGGATGTCTCGTAAGCAGAAATGGCAGTCAAAAGGTGAAGTATTTGCCCCCACAGTGTCCATAACTTAATAAAGATGGTTGGCATTCCATCACTTCTGTTACAGCATTCAACACATCCCCTTATTAAGTAAGCCAATAATATGGCCAATTGATCATGTAATTCCATTACAAGTATAACTTGGCAGCTATACAAATGACCCCAAAGAAGCAGATGCAGTTCGTGATCCCGTCATACACGCAGGAAGTATTTTATGACCATAAACTTCAAGATTGCGCTTATTCATTAGGTACCTCTTTCATGCAATTTGAATATCAAAAGTTGGTGAATTTTTAGTTTTACACATTGCCTGCTACTTGAACACTGTCATTGTTGCTTTATATGCTTTCTGTGGCTGTTAAATGTTGATCCAGGGTATTACGAGTCATATTATCCTAATTTGTGTTAAACTTGACTACCAATATACTGAAAACAGAAACATGTTATTCTATGGTTTAGATCATTTAGTATGCCATTTTGCACTCCCTGGTTTTCTTCCTTCTTTACAGGTTCCTTAACAAATACTTTGTACCCCTTGAGAAGTTTAAAATTTTATGTTGCTGGATCATGGGAACTGAGATGTAATGTTTAATTATGACCACTTGAATGTGTATCTTCATTCAAGTGGATAAGGTTGCGTGCAAAGCTTAAATGAAGTACAGAGCAGTGTAACTGTATATTAAAACAGTAGTCTAAAAATAAACATAGGAAAATGACATTTCTAGTGTTGGTTTGATTTTGTTAAAATGGCACGCATATAAGATAGAAAAGCAAAGTGAAGTTTGATGATTAAAATGGTACTCGTAAAAAGCTAATTAAATATAGAGGCACCTATTAAACAGAGTGGGCCAATGAAAGATACAACAACAGTGTACTATATTGCTGATAGTAGCTTTTAAAAAAAAACAATTTTTAATTTTTTTTAAATAAAGTTTTTATCAAATAAAAATGTCTCCCTGCCTTCCCTCATTACACATTGTCAATTGGAAGAGACAAGTTATAGACACACTTATACCTTAGAAGTCATACTGAAGTCTGATTTTCTGTCTCTGAAGAAAAGCTGCTTCCTGCCAAACTTTCCCATCTCTTCCTTCTTCAAATGCCATCCTGATCCTATGCTGTGCTCTATATTATCTCACATAATTTTTGCCTTATTGGTGTGACACATACTCACGCTCTTATTTGTTTCTTTGTATCCCCTCTTTAGTCTTTAGTATTCCTCGTTTTCTTTTCAGGAACTGCTCGCTTTAATTAAGGGTCCCCAAATTAAAATAAATTGGTGGTGAAATTTATATTGGTTGTTTAGGTTAGATATAGAAAGAGAACTACAGCGTACTCTGTATAGTGCCAGTTGCATACAATGGTAATAGTGTTTTAGCCAAAGCTTGGTGAGGTTGGTGGGGAACTCACCTTGTGACTTTGAGGTCACAAGTTCGAGTCTCATCAACTATATCTATTTGGGAGTAAGTGATTCCCTTATCTCCCCCCCCCCCCTCTATTCTTAAGTGTTGACTTGCGGAGCTGGTTTGATTTAACTTGTGAGAGGTGACAATTCAGTAAGATCCTTAATCTCACCTTTAAAAAAAATACAAATAAAATGTTAGGGAGAGTAATGTTTCAAGAGGTGATGTTGCAAAATAAAATACTAATTATTACTTCCTCTAGCCTTTATTTGTTGCCCCACTTTTCTTTATAGTTTGTCTCTTTAATTTTACCCCATTTTATTTTTGGATATATGGGACTATACCTTTACTCTCATTACCATTCCATTACCACTTTTCTCTCTCATTTTATTTTTCCAACTAATATGGTGCAAAAATTAAGAGACGGAGAGAGTAAAAAGAAAGAAAACTGCACTTGGTTGGAACCTGCGGTCTTCGTTGTGTCCAATTGTGAACCTTTGATTATTAAAAACATCGAATTTCGTTCGAGTCAGCTTTGTATAAAATACCTATTGGACTCATACGACAATACTTCCATTCATTCCAATATTATTACAATAATTGGACTTTTGCACTATTCATCACTCTTGTTTGACCATGTAATATAATTTATACGTTAAGCAAAATAAGTAATGTGGAGTCTTGTTAGATTCGTCTCATAAAAT